CGTGCTTGCTCCGCTGGTGCCTGGAACCGGCCCGGAATGTGAGTATTCTTCCGCTGCACTGAGGCTGCTGTTTTCTCGAGCTTTGCGATTTATTATTTTTTTAACATTTTGCCCCAAAATGAGTGGTTCAAATAGAAGACAACGTCTGTATTATTTCAACGCAGAGTGGGAAGAATCCTATTGTTTTACTGAAAAAAAGGGAAATGTGTTTGCTTATTGTACGGTGGTACTGTTACAGTGCCGAAAAACATAATGTCGAACGCCATTTCCAAACTAATCACAGCTCTTTTGACATTAGCCATCCACTTCAATCTGAGTTGAGAGAGAAGAAAATTAATCAACTCAAATCAAACCTATCTGCCCAGCAATCTGTTTTCACTAGACAAGTGGTAAAGCCTAAAAGTGCTCCTATTGCTTCCTTTAAAATTGCTCATTTGCTTGCAAAGAAGAAAAAACCCTTCCAAGATGGTGAATTGTTGAAGGAAGCATTTTTTGACTGGTGCTGATTGCCTGTTTCAAGGATTTCCTAACAAGCGTGAGATTTGGTCGGCAATACAAGACTTGCAGTTATCAGACAACACAGTTACGAGGAGGATACATGCAATTTCAAGCAACATGCAAACTCAGCTAAAGGATGACTTGGAAATAAGTGACTGGTTTTCACTGCAGTTCTATGAGTCAACGGATATATCGGATACAGCGCAGTTGTCAGTTATGGTGAGGATGGTATTTACTGACTTCACCGTAAAAGAAGAGTTACTCAGAGCATTGCCTATGAAAGGGAGAACAAAGGGTGAGGACATCTGTAATTATTCAAGTCATACGCAACATCAATTAGCACGCCACGACACAAGCTGTCTGCGATCACCGCTGATGGGGCACCAGCAATGGTGGGCAGCGCCAGTGGGTTCATTGCACTCTGCAAGGAGAATTAATCCTTTCCCAACTTGATGTCTTATCATCGCATTATCCACCATGCAGCTTTGTGCATCGAAGTTCTTTCTCTTCAACATGTCATGAATGTCGTTATTAAAATAATTAACTCTATTCGAGCAAAACCTTTGCAACACCGACTTTTTAAGGCCCTGTTGGAAGATGTTGATGATAAACAATCTGATCTTATCTTGCACACAGAAGTACGATGGCTGAGCAAAAATATAGTTCTTGCATGTTTTTTAAGCCTAATTGAAGAGATCAAAGAATTTCTGAAGTCCACAAATCAGAACTTCGAGCAACTAGAAGACTCCAGCTGGTTAATGGACTTTGTTTTCCTTGCCGATATCACTGACAAATTGAACATTTTAAATCTTGAGCTCCAGGGAAAAGAAACATGTGGCTCAAATGATAGGTTCTGTAAAATCATTCAAAGCAAAACTGATCTTGTGGATGTCACATATGAAGATGAAGTCTCTCGTACATTTCCCAAGTATGAAGAAAATGGTATGTGACAGTGATTTTAACCCATCACCATTTGTTATCCACATTCAAACACTTCTGGAACAATTTGAAAAGAGATTTCAACAGTTCACCGTCATTGAGCCTATAGACAGGTTTCAGAGTAACAGCCGTGTTAGTCTGTATTCGCAAAAAGAAAAGGAGTACTTGTGGCACCTTAGAGACTAACCAATTTATTTGAGCATGAGCTTTCACATCCGATGAAGTGAGCTGTAGCTCACGAAAGCTCATGCTCAAATAAATTGGTTAGTCTCTAAGTTGCCACAAGTACTCCTTTTCTCATTGAGCCTATAGTTGCCTTTCTTATGAATCCTTTTACTTGCCAAATAGAGGTAACTGAAATGGCTACATCAATTGCGAGTCTCATTCAAGTAAGAACAGAAGACGTGGAACTGGAGATTTTGGACCTTCAACATGATATTGTCTAAAATCCTGCGCAACAGATGAAAACTTTTTGGAATCTGGTTGACTGAAAAAAGTTTCCTGCCTTAAAAAACGTAGCATACAAAATAAAATCTGATTTCGGTTCCACTTACGTATGTGAAGTTCTGTTTTCAACAATGAACATCATAAAATCAAAATACAGATCTCAGCTTACAGATGCCCATCTTGACGATTGCTTATGAACAGGAATATCATCCTACTCTCCCAACTACAAAAAACTGGCTGAAGAAATGCAGTGCCAAAAATCACACTGACTTTATTAGAAAAACCATGTGAATTAGATACCTATTTTCCATTAAGTGCTGATGAACGCGTATGATTAACTTGTGTTTAACTTTTTTTCATATTTGTTTGTTTGTTTATTGAAATCCAGATACAAGTGACAATACAAAGAATATTTTTTAATTAACCATAACTGGCTATCTATGGTAAAGTAAGAATAATACATATATTTGGACCAGCAGTTCAACAATATTTTATACATAGGACTGAAATATTACTAGCCCCACTTTCTGCTGCAGCTAGTCTAAATTTTTCCAAAAAACTGTCCAATCAAAAAATAATTTTACTTTTTTAAAATAAACAAGATAAAAACTGTTTATGATATTTATTTTGTAAAAACTCCTTAATTTTTCTTACAGGTAGATAAAAAAGAGCAAATTCACATGGTAAGGTGAAAGAGTAATTGCCGAATAATTTAATTAATACCTTTTACATGTAAAATTACCTTTTTTTATCTTATGGAGTCATATATTATGTAATATTAAATATGATGTTTTGCGTATTATTTAATGTACAAATACAAAATAAGCCTTGAAAAATTGTTGGTACCCACCACACTCTTCTGAAAACATGAGTGTGCGATTGGCCACACAAGGGTCGGGGGCCACTGCTTTAGATAATGACATTACAGCTTACCTATTTTCCCCCCCCTCTAGTTCTTTCCATCCCAGCTACGCTAGCCTCAAAGATTCTGCCTTTTTTTCCAAAACACTTTCTTTTAAGAAGTCCCACTGGCTTTTCCATTCACAGAGAGACTGGTATCCACTTTGCCCTTATCTTTCTTAGGATTTGTCAAGTGCTTATTTCCCACAGCTTCTCCCCCTACAAGACTTGGGCTAGAGTCCCCAGGGTCTCCCAAAATGTGAGTTACTGAAATTGTCTTCTCCTGAAATGTCCATTAGCAATAAGGGATGCTGCAGGCCAGGAGGCAAAGTTGTAGGGGAGAGATCTGTATTGACCACACTGAGGAGCCAGTGTTACAGGCTGGGATTCTGGAGCTTGTCGACCAGCAGCCTGTTCGTGGCTGGCCCGTATTTCTGAGCCACTGCTGCCACACTGTAGTGAGACCCTTCTAAACCCTGATGCTCTTTGTCCAGTTCCACCCATCCTGCTACACAGCTCCAAGCTTGCTCCAAGTCATATGCCCTACAGGAAATGACATATAAGGCTTGCGCCTTGTAGGCAGAGGGTAAAACGGGTAGGACGTGGGAGGGGGTGCTCTGCACCTGTCATACAGAAAGCAGGAGCTGGGTAAGGAGAAGCCTTCTCTGGGAAGTCCTCGAGAAAGGGCTATGAGAAGGGGCTGTGAGACTGTCTAGGTGGCTTTGTTTTGCATCTTTGTTTCTAAATTATTAAAGACAGCCCTGAGCAAAGAAAGCAGGGCTGTCCCACTGTTAGGAGCATGGTTTCACTTTCCTCAGCTGGTGGGGGGACAGTCCACCTACTTAACCTTCCATTTCCTCTCCACCGGTCAAGCACTTGCTGCCCAGTGGCTTCCAGGACCCTGGGAAATGGGTAGGTGTTCCCAACACAAATTGGGAATTTCCTGGATCCTCTGTGCTTTACGAAATTAATTGGCCAACATATGCCTGGTTACATAGATGCAAGCTCCACTCAGCAAGTCTTCTGCGTAAAAGCTCCTGATGATATCTAAAGATGCTGACCAGCATACAAGGGTTAATAACTTTTCTGGTTTACTCTATCACTCATAGAGAAAAATTCCCTCCAAATGAAAATGGCAAAAAGATCTGTCTACTCTCAAAACGTACCTCATTTCAGCGGTTTTCTCCTTCATTTGGGATTGTTTTGTAACCATAGCATTTGATTTCTGTTTTCTTTTATATTTACTTATCCTAGTAACAGATTTAGACTTTAACCTTCTGATTTTTTTAAATAATTTTTTTAAAAGGACAAACTGAAATATATGAATGAATAAATCTAACCTTTCCGTGACGAAAACCATTTGGAAATGATAAGGTGCAAAGCTCTGCTTTATGATAAACAATTATTCCACACCCTAGAGCAGTGGTTCTCAAAGCCAGTCCGCCGCTTGTTCAGGGAAAGCCCCTGGTGGGCCAGACCAGTTTGTCTACCTGCCATGTTTGCAGGTTCGGCCGATCACGGCTCCCACTGGCCATGGTTCGCCACTCCTGGCCAACGGGGGCTGCGGGAAGCGGCGCAGGCCAAGGGATGTGCTGGCCAACCTTCCCGCAGCCCGCATTGGCCTGGAGCTGCGAACCACAGCAGGTAAACAAACCGGTACGGCCTGCCAGGGGCTTTTCCTGAACAAGCGGCAGACCGGCTTTGAGAACCACTGCCCAAGAGCACTTCTGGACATGAGTGAGCATCCCCTCTTCGAAGGCAAATGCTATTTTGTAATAAAAGATTAAAGAAAATCTCAGAAGCGACACATCGCATGAATCAACTCAGGGAATGGGCAGTAGGCACTTTCTGGGGTGCTTGTATACAGTTCCATGCAGTCACCTAGAGATCAGCTGCACCAGAAGATTCAGCAATAATATAGCACTAAATAAGAAGGTAAAGACTCCTAACTCATGGGGTCCCAGTCTTCTTCACCTCTCTGAACGGTAATGCCATATTTCCTGTGCTCCTTCCTGGAAGTTTTCCCTCCAGAATATGGTACCCTTTGAAATGACGTTAGCGCCATGGATCAGGGGGTCTGTGGATACAGCAGGTCTGTGGGGCAGCAGATGTGTGTGATCTAATTCCTACCCAAAGCCCCCATGTAACATGTAGGTACAATTCATAAAACAAACTCCAATGTGTTAATAATCATAAGAAAACAAAAATTGCCATACCTGAATCAGAGTAGTGGTCCATCTACTCTAGTATCCTGGATTAGTCCAGCCCTTGATGCCTGAAAGTTATGAAAAAAAGAAAACCTACTTAATCCAGCTATTAATTTTATTATTCATATAAAATACTAAAGTCATCACTACCTCCTTATGTCGCATAGGTCCACTCAACCCATTGTAATATCCTGTCTCAAGTGTGTGTGCACGCACACACACAAACCACTGCCCAGTCTAGACAGAATCAGCACAGTTCCTGTGTGTCTGCATGGCTGTTCTCCACTGGCCCACAGATCTACACAAGTGTTTGTGACTAGCACACCCTCTTGTGCCTGGAAGCCTGAAAAAGTTATGAGACTCCCAATCCAACTGTACCTGTACTTGTGAATGGAGACACTTTTCTGCCTCCAGTGGTAAACGCCTGTTTCCAAAGAAGGATATTAACCACATGTGCGTCTTGCTAACAATTGCTACTCCACTTCCTGCAATCACAGACTGTTACATTGCCCCTCACTTTTATTTGTCATAGTTAATGGTGATTCTCTTCAGCATGGCACTGCCTTTTCAGGTAAATAAAAGGTTTCTGTAAGTACTGGTTTATTGATAGGAGCTATGGCAATTGGAGATATATAGGCCATTAAAACTAATATGTAACATGTTCTAAATCACCAAAGCTGCTGGATATTTATCAGCCCACTGATAAATATTCTTGGCAAGGCACTGCAAATCCTGCTTCAATAAATATGTGCTGCACCAATTGCTGTAAAGATTTTTTGTTTCTTTTCATTTTGAAGAAGCTCCCTGAATGCGTTTGCAAATACAAAGAAATCCCTAAGTGAATTCAAATTGAAATAAACAAAGAGAGAGAAAGCTAGTAAGCTACATTTTTATAATAACTTAATTGATGTTACTCCCACCCAGCAAAGGTACTCAGAGCCCTTCACAGACAATTAACATTATAACATCCAAAAGACACAAAATCACATGCCCACCTAAAACAAGTCATCATTAACAGAAGAGGTGTAACACACTTCTGGGGATACCCAGAGCTGTGAGCCACCGTTACCTGTCTGCCTCAACAAGAGTGAGTTTTACTTATGTTTAAGACTGTGTCAGCTCCCCGCTACACCAGTCTGTCTTCCTCACCTGCGAACTCCTCAAGGCACTCCTGGCCCAGTCCTTGCTTAGCACACAGTTAAAAATCATTGGACTCCAGCCCCCGAGCTCCTCAGAGATGTTTCTCTGCAATGCACAGCTCCTACCACTGTGCATTCACAGAAGATAATAAGTACTTTGCTCTGTTAAAAAGTCAGACATTACAGCTCATTGCCTGGGGGTAAATACACACTTCCTTTCAAGCACTGCACTGAATTAGTTTATAGTAAAAGTAAAATAAGTTTTTTTAACAAAGGAACGTGGATTAAATCATACCAAGTAAAGAGAGAAAGGGAGAGATGGTTACGAACAAATAAAAGTAAAAACACATCTAAAAGTCTAAAATTCAATCTAGCAAGGTATAGTCTTGCTAAAGATGTTTTCTTTCACCCACAATCTCCTTTTTACTGGCTGGCCTGGCCAGAACCCATCACAGAGATCAAATCACTTGGTTTCTTTGTCTCCTGAAGTGAAGGATAAAAATGGAGTCTCCACCTGTACCTTATATCCCTAAAGGGATGTCTTACAAGTCAGAAAGGCCTCGTGGGGACTCAGTCTCCTGTATCTCTCTGGCGTGCAGCAGTCATGCTAATTCTCTGTCTCTGGAGTTCAGGAACAGGAAGGATAGCCTGTGCTGGTTTAGCTCGACACCTTTTGTTTACCACTAATATGTAAACTGAGATAAACCCATTTTCCTTTGTCTAGGACAGACCTGTTTTATCACCTTTATCTAGATTGGGCTGTCTTGCCTTAAACAGCATAAAGGCAGAATTTATAACTTCACATATAAAGTCAACACATGCATTTTATAATGATATTAATAACAAGTGTGTTATTACCTTTCATATGATACCTCACAAGGCATATTTTGTTCAATATCACTGCAGTAGTGTGTAGAGCGTAAATACAGGGTGCCTAGGGTAACGGGAGGTCTGACCGAGTGATATTAAAGAAAACTGGAGTGTTTTTGGTGATTTTTGAAAGTGGGATTGGATGTCCTGTGGCAGAGCATCCTGTGTCCTACAATGAAACACATTCCAAAGTGCCAAGCATAATGTCACCTTATCTTGGTTAAAGTTATTCCAGCTAGTAATATCAGAGAAATTATGACAATATGTTGTTCTACATGAAAGTACATGACAGAGCTATTTGTAAGACCTGGCAGCTGCCACTCTCAGCACAGCAGATGGCAGTGATAAAAACACAATGCAGAGAACAGGTTGATAAAGACATTTCTGTCATTACACTTTCACTTTACAATTACACTCGACTGCAAGATACAATTGCAATGCATGGCTCTGTCACTCTCGAGCAGGAGAAACTTGCTTATCTGTGGAAAATCACTCTGGTGTAACAATTAATTTCATACATATTATTAATCAATATAATTCATCTCCTGTCCACAGGAGCAGGAAGAGGAAACCAGCAAAGACACCTGAAATCTTCACACTGAGCAGCGCTAACTAGTTGTCCTCTTCTTCCCTCAGTGGGAAAGAGACAATCGTCTGTCATCAGCAGCAAAAAGCCAAGGTGAGGGATAGTAACAAACACACACATCTGTGACAACTATCACTTCATGTTCCCGCACTGAGGGCATTGAGCGAGTTACATTCACTCACTACTCCCTCTTGGGTTCCATAATGGTGCTGGTGGAAGGTACAAGCAGACAGCCCTCAGGCCTGATAACATCAATTTACCCTGAAGCACACAGAGTGATGTGGCAGCTGTGCCAGCTTCTACCCTACTCTTCTCCATCAATAAGCTTGATCCCTACCATAGAGGGACCACTTCTAAACATGATGGGGGATTCCTTGGCCTCTCTGCTGAGATGGTCAACATCAGGGGCAGGCAATTCAGGTCAACAGTGAAGGCGTATTTGGCACTGAGGACCGCTGTCCACTAGAATCATAGAATATCAGGGTTGGAAGGGACCCCTGAAGGTCATCTAGTGCAACCCCCAAATTCTGACTCCCATTTCATTTCACAAAGGCCACTGGTCACTACTGACCTGGAACTGATGACCCTGTGGAATTTGTTGCCAGGGGATGTTGCAAGGGCCAAAACGGTAACTGGATTCAAAAAGGAATTAGATATGTTCATGGAAGCTAGTTCCATCAATGGCTATTAGCCAAGATGGTTAGGGATGCAACCCCATGCTCTGGATGTTCCTAAACCTCTGACTGCCAGATCCTGGGACTAGACAACAGGGGATGGATCACTTGATGATTTCCCTGTTCTGTTTGTTCCTTTTGAAGCATCTGGCACTGGAAACTTTCAGAAGACAGGATACTGGGCTAGATGGACCATTGATCTGACCCAACGTGGCTATTCTTATGCTCTTATTACCCTGAAATGAAAAGCCTCAGTCCATCTCAGCACAGAAGAGTTGTCTCAATGTCTGTGAGAGTCATCAGAGGCAAAGTCCCTCCATTGGAGACCATCGCAGCATTGACATCAAAACACTTGCTATAGTGTTTTCAGACTGAATAATCAGATCCCATTCCTGCCTATAAAGCAGCTACTGAAAATAGCAAGTGAAATAGTGAAGAGTTTTCCCAGGCAGTTTCACTAGATAAAAAGAAATACCAAGCAGCATATGTAAGGCCTGGCAGGATGAGATGAGACTGAGAGAGAGGCCACCACAAGAATGTATTATGAAGACATACAATTTATTGGATAAGGTCACTCCTTTCCAGCTCCAGTTCCTGCCTCTCTAGTGGCCAATACTTGATGCTGATGTGGAAAAAAAAATTATATCTAATGCAGCAGGCCAATTGTCCATATCTATGTAAAGAGAAAAATAATCCTGTACTGTCCCGGGGGGTAGTCATCTTACACCTGAACCCCTGAGACACATGTGCCCTTAACGTCACAGCTGCAAATATTATTGGTCATAAAATCATCCAGATTTTAAAATCTGGCTGAAGACTTTGACTGTCTGTATCCCTGCAGCTGGGAGCTCCCCAAGCCAACTACATGTGTTATGGAGAAGTGCTTCCTTTTATTTGTTCTAAATTCACCAGCCATTACTTTAATTAAATGACCCCTTCTTTGAAGGTGTGAAAGGAATGTTCTGGTCCGCTTTCACTGTCCCCTTCATAACCTCCTGAACCTCTGTCAAAAAAACCCCTAACTCTTCTCTTTCCCTATTTACATAATCCCATTGTTTGCATTCCCTCTTCATAAGTAACCCTTGTCCCAAACTCTAACCTTTGTTATGCTTTTCAGGACCCCTTCTAACTCAGCTCAGATTTTTTCAAGGAGAGGCAACCAAAACTCAACACAATATTTACACAGGCCATTGACAAAGGCTTTCTCCAGCCCTGGCTGGAACCTGTGTTTGTTTTCATCTTTTAACCTGGGAAAGATAAGGATTTTGTGGCGATGGGAAGGTAACTGAAGTTTTTTAATCCTTGAAAACTGTAAATTGCTGAAGGCCCATTAAAGAAATATATTGTAGGGTTGTTACATAACTGATGCCATTATTGCAAGGAAAGCAAACACATGGCAGGAACTGAACCTAGAGATTTAGACAATGGGAAGGAGAATCCCCTTGAATCTGGTAAAACCACAAAGGAGCTAAGCATCCAACATTGCTCACTCCTCAAGGGATTCAGCTTAATGATAACCATCCACATATCAGATCATCCACCTGCCAGACTCTCACTGAGTATACTCCAAAGAGGTGTTTTGGACAAATTTGCCAATAAACATAAGGAAAGATTCTACTGTTCTAGTATTTAAGGTAAATGCCCCTAACTGTGGAAGCAGAAATCTGAGGCTTGGAAGGACAAAAGCAGACATTACAGGGCATCAGAGAAGAAGAGGAATTTCTGGACAACCAGATTCGAGAAGCGTCATTACCCCAAATTCAAGGAAGAAAGGAACTGGCTACCCCAGAATTAGAGAA